GTTTTGGCAGAAGGCTGGTCTTTTCCCGATGCTACTAGAGATAGACAGGAATTAAGGGGACAGGATAGGAAAGAAAGAGAAGTGCTTGTGAATATTTTATTGTTCTCCTACTTTTCCTTTCCACCCGCTGGTGCCCAACAACACAGCAAACTAGCCAATGACTTCCCTGGACTTCTTCCCCATTCACATTAGCTACCCCTTGCTTTATGAAATAACTTTTTTTTGTTAATGCATTGTTTTTTTCTGATCAAAAAGCGATCTATCTTCAGGTTGTATTGTTAAAACAAAAAACTACAAACAGGAGGGCTTCCCTGGTGGCTGAGTGGTATAAAGAATCCGCCTGCCAATGTGGGAAACACAAGTTTGATCTCTGGCCTGGGAAGACCCCACGTGCCACAGAGCAACTCAGCACGTGTGCTGCAGCTACTGACCTGTGCTCTGGGTCCTGGGAGCTGAAACTACCGAGCCCCGGGGCTGCCACTGCTGAAGCCCAAGCACTAGAGCCTGTGCTCGGCAACAAGAGGAGCCGCTGGAACGGGACGCTCATGCACTGCAGCTAGAGAGCGGCCCCCACTCACCGAAACAAGAGAAAAGCCAGCACAGCAACCAAGACCCAGCACAGCAAATTTAAAAAAAAAGAGAGGAAATGGGTAATCACTATCCATTATTTCACCACCCAGAGATAACTGTATAATGTGTATGCTTTTATGCTGTGGTCATTATTTTACAAAATTGGAAAAATAAGAATACTTGAAATAATCTGATCTGTTAGTTAAGAACACAGGTAACCGGATGATAGAGTGGAAGTTTTAGTTGAGACCTTAAGACGGAGTGGATGAGATAGATGACTCAGCAGGACTTGAGAAAAGTTGCTGACCAAACTGAGAAGCAAGACCTTCACACAACACTGTGAAGCAACTATACTCCAATAAAAATTAAAAAAATTGTTAAAAACCAAAAAAAAAAATTTCATCTGCATAGATGATCCAAAGTTGAAGGAGTTATAAGAGAGGATGTTGTAGGATATCTCATTGGTCAAAAGCTTTCCCAGAGAAGTAGACACGCTGTCTTCTAATTCCCAGTTGGGAGCATAAGCTCTGTGGATGTCGCTCCGAGTCTCCAGTATGTCCCCAACATTGGAGACTTGTATTCCAGTCATAACTGAAAACTCTGAAGAGCCAGGAATTTGTCTAAAGTGACCTGCAGCAGCAGAGAAGAGGGCTACAGTTTGAGAAGTGTCTGAATTGTAAATGGCCTGATGCCATTTTGTGCCTCCAATGAACTCTTGAAATCACCCATAAAAGGGGACCAAAAGCCCAATGCCAGCCAGTGATCACACCTACTGTGTAAGAACTTTCCCAACTCTCTTAGTGGTCCTTCCTCCCCCTACTACTCAGGAGCCAGAAACTTTTTTAAACCAATTGTGGGCGGAGGAACAGAATCACAAAGAACCCAAGAGAAAGATGTTGGCCACATCCTCTTCCACAGCTGGAGCCTCTGAGAAAAAGGAGGATCCACAGTTCTAAACAATTTAGGAAGTTGTGGCTAATTTTGTGGGCCTGTACATTTTAATGATTAGGTTGAGAAAATGTTTTGTGACTTAAGTCACGGAAGTTGTGGGCAGCTACCAAAGTTTTCCTGAAGAAGCAAGGAAAAAACTAGCTGTTTCCTGAATAGAATAAAATCTATTCTGAATAAACAGATTCTGAATAAAATCTAACGGAACAGGGTGGGGGGGGGACAAAAATAATATGATCACATCACACAAGTCATGCCAACAATACAATGATAAATATTATGATCATTCCCTGTGTCATGAAGGAAACAGGCAAAAATTCATACATTTGTAGAGTTGCCATTCTGGTTAAGTAAGAGAATAAGGAAATACATATTTGATAGTAAGCACTCAGGAGAAAACAAAGAAGCAGAAAAAAGATGAAATAGCCTGCTGACAACTGGCAGCTAAGGGGTGAAGGGAGTTGGGAGGTAGGCGGAGGAGACTTAATTAGAAGTCCCCGCCCTCTTCCATCTGCTTCCTTCATCCTTTATCTGCTGTCTTGCTCTCTTAAAACCAAACAGGAAGAAAAATGAAAGAATCTAAGAAAAGGGTAAAATATCACGAATTACATAGTAACAAGGTAGAGGTTACAGGTTGTTTCTCTCCCTGAAAGTCTTTGTTTAAAAGTTTTCAATCCAGCAGGAGACTACACTGTCCAATATGGTAGCTACTGGCACCTATGACTATATAAATTAACTAAAGTGCAAGATAAACAACAAAGTTTTACTGTATAGCTCAGGGAATTATACCCAGTATCTTGATGGAATATAACCATAAAAAACAAAACCTATGCAGCACACCTGAAACTAACACACTGTTATCAATCAACTATACGTCAATTAAAAATTAAACTTAAGTTTAGTTTCCAAGCATTTCAGGCTTCAATATCCACACGAAGCTAGTGGCTGTTCTATCGGATAAGTTAGATGTAGAATATCTCCATCATCACAGAAAATTCTATGAAACCACACTCCTCGGAATGAAACAAAATGCCTTTGCTTAAAAGCCAGACTAGTACTAGAGATCATTTAAAAGGTGTGGAATTTTTCAAAGGGATCTTTGAAAACTCATTGTCCATTCAGAATACGTGAAATTTGGAAGTTGCAAAACTGTACATTTGAGGCATGTGAATCCCTAGATGCATTGACTCAGAGGCAAATTGCATTTAGGAGATTAGGAGAGACAGTAAGAGAAGGAGATTAATGAAAGAAGAGGAAAGAAAAAGCCCTTAAAAGGTAAAAGAGCTACTCCATTGGTGGTCCAGGGGTTAAGACACCACGCTTACAATACAGGGAGCATGGGTTCGATCCTGGTTGGGGAACTAAGATCTCACATGCCCCATGGCACAATCAAAAAACTGAAAAGGTAAAAGATCAGATGTCTGGGGGCTTCCACTCAGATGCTTATATATGCTCTCCAACCATGTCCATTCAGAACCCACATTCTTGCCAGCCTGCTTCAGCAGGGTCTGGAGAAGGCAAATTGTGAAGTTCACCTACTGACGCATTGAGCATTGGGCAATATTTATACCAAAGCATACAACCTAACTGGTGAAGCTCCAAGCCAAAGGAGAACTCTCTTTAAGCACAGTGGGCTTCCAGAAATCCTGTAAATCACTCACAGTTTTTTTGCACTTGAAAGCCAGCCAAGAGTGGTAAGATTCCCAGTCCTTGGGCCGGGCTCAGTGTTCTTCTGATCCTCCAAAGGCAGCAGCACATAGCAAGACAGATATGCAATGAGGATGCCCTGTTAACCACTCATAGGCAGGGGTGAGGCATAAGAGAACTGGGTGGAGTTGGGCATGGATGGGACAGGCCTCTGGATTCTTTTTTTTTTTTAGGCCTCTGGATTCTTGACACCCCTGCCTTTTGCACACAGAAGGAGGAAGACAGACACAATAAATTCAAAGCAATGGGTTCTATGAAGCTGTTTATTTGTATTCAAAAATAGCATTCTAGACGCAAGTTTGCCAGAGCTTTGAGATCTGTTCATTTAAAGAGCCTCATTCTTCATCCTGTTCTCTGAGCTTCTCACTTGTCCCTAGAGGGCTTGTTCAGGATCATGGGGATGCCCAGTCCCCTTCTTTGCACACCACAGGTGTACTAAATGATCCCAGGGAGGGAAAATATCATCCCATCCAGGCTGGATACCACTCACATACAGAGATCTGGATGAATCTTTTGGCCCTGATGACATAGGGTGTGTGGCAATGAAATGGTCTCTAGGCATCACAAAGACACAAAACTACCGCCCCCTCCTCCAAATTCAGGGTCTTGGGCTTTCTAGATGTTAAAGGACAGAACAGGGCTTTCTAGTCAGGGATACTGTCATCTTGTTTAATCTCTGCTCCTTTTACCGAGAGCACTTCAGACAGTCCCCATGCCCTCTCTATCACCTGTCTTATTCGTACTTCAGGCAATAATCCCCATTTAACAGAAAGAGTGTTGACATTACTGGGCAGGAAACTCACCTGAGCAAGCCACAAACAAAAGCTCACACCTCAAAACGCTTACTTCCACCTACCTCTGAATGTATCTGAATGGAGTGTCTGCAGTAACAGGCTCAATTTTTTATCTGGCTTATTCCTACTGGGAGAGTTGCGGGGTGGGGTGGGGGGTGGTAGCAGGGGGTTGTGGTCTGGAACAGGGAGCAGAAGAGGAGAGAAAGTCAGTTCAAAGGCTGGGAACTTAAAGGTGATTTTGGTTGCAGCCCATCTTTCATTCCCACTCAGGAACATACAGGTCACATTGCAGCCTCTTTGATATTCACCCATCCAGAAGTCCTGGATTTTCTTTGATATGAGAAGTGTCTCCTGCTAAGCCAGGAAGAACACTATGTACCTACTCACTTTCTCACCCACAAATTCCAGCTGCCTTACTTCAAAAGAAAAGGAGAAAAAAAAAAAACAGGACTTTTGAATAAAAGTGTTCAACAGAACATTGTCCAGATAATCAGTAATTAATGTAATACAGATGCTTGACAATAGGCATTTATGTTAAGTGAGGGCTGTGCAATTATGAGAAACCACATTTTGTGAAATATTTACATGATTCATTGAGTGGAGAGGATGGGTAACCAAAGTTACCCGTGATGATTCAAAATGTGAGAAGACAAAGAATTGTACATAGTAAATATGCAAAGAAACTAGAAAGACAGTATAACAGGGCTTATGTTAATTCCAGGCAGTGAGATGATCATCTTTTTTAACACTCTTTGCCTCTTTTCTTATAAACTATTTTGTAATTCAAAAATAGAAATAGATTACATCTTCCAGGAAAAAAAAAAAACACTTCTGTTTGCAAAAGAGAAAGATTAGCTATGAGAGGAGGACCGTCCCTGTAGGAGCCCCAGGGTCACAGGAGTGGGCCGTGGTGAGGGGCAGCCCAGGGCGGGAAACAAGGGCTCCTTGCTCTGCCCCGGCTTGGCCAGGGGAGGCAGCGAGGAGCCCAGGATCACCTCCCCTTCCTTCCCTTCCCCCTCCCCACTCAGCTGTCCAGGGGAGTCCGGGCCAGACGGAGCGCTCACCACTCCGGCCAGAGTCATGAGAACCCAGGCTCTGCTGTCCATCCTGCTCCTCTGCGTCCTGCTGCTGCAGGCCCGGGGAGGGCAACGCAGCCAGAGGATGAACCGTAGGTGATGGGGGAGGGGGCGGGGAGGGCAGGAGGGGTGACGTGTCCAGTCTAAGGAGAACCTGGGAATTAGAACTTTCTGAAACATCCTATTTGGACCACGGCACTATGAAGACTCTGGTTCTTCCCAAACCACGGTCCTCCAGTCTCTTTATCTGGCTCTGGGAAGAGTGATGGGGGTGGAGGGGGAACCTGCATCTTTTCATTCCCCATCCCCCAAATCCAGAGACACGTGGTACCTACAATGGGGCAAGATACACCTGAGCGAGAATCAGGTGAGAAAACAAACAACTGTTCTTTGGTTTATGCACACAGCTAACAGCTAAATATACCAAGACGTTCAAGGGAGTAGATGTAGAGTGAAAAACCTCCAGAGCGCAACACTTGGGAAGTACAGGTCAAGTTACAGCTACCTCCGAGGGAGCAGGATGGGGAGAGTGGAAGGGAAGCGCTGAGGGTGCTGTGTGGCTGGGAAGTGGCAGGGATCGTGCAGACAGTGGCAGTATGAGAGGAGAGAGGTGGAAGGGGCAAGTTCACCTTCCTCTCTGGTCCCCGCAGATCGTAGAGAGTAGGGGAGAGTTAGCAGGTCACCCTCACCTTTGTGGAGTTCTCAGGGTTCGGGTGCAGGTTCTGTGGAGGTGATTTGGCCAAGGCCATGACTAGTATGGGAGACGGAGTCCTGTTGCAGGATTATGGAGAGAGTCCAGAACTCCAGGCATCGAGGTCTATTAGGGAAGAGGAGGAGGAGTGGGATTTAAGATACTACCCATCGCCAGGATCTGGTGAAGGGTGGAGGTAAGTTCCCTGAAAAGTTCAAGAGTCATGAGTGGGCCTGTGTCTGGGGTCTTGGAGGAGGCTTTAAGCTTTCGAGAGGTATTCTCGGGGGCCTGGTTCCACTGACCTTTCCTACGCTCTGTTTCAGAAAAGCAGCCACCCCTAGAAATCAAGCAGTGTGAGAAAAGACCCAAAATATATCTGTGCACAATCCCCTGCACAGATCACCGAGAATGTCAAGCAAATAACATATGCTGCTCAACCTTCTGCGGGAATGTTTGTATGAACATCCTATGAGTCAGAGAGCAGGGGGCCAGGCATCCTGCCCCCACCAACCGTCTCCGCAGACACTGCCTTCGGCTGAAGACAAGGACCTGACCCTGGACACAGGATGTAACAGGAATGCCACCCTGTCCAGCCAGTATCTGAAAAACCTGTCCCTGTCAAATAAACCAGAACAAATGTGGAAGGACCTGCCTGGCTCACTCCCGATGTCTGTGATCATGGAGGACCCAGCGCAGACCCCAGAGGGCTCCCCCTTTCTGGGTCCAGGTCTCTGATTTCTCTCCCCTTGTCAAGCTTCTCTGCTCCCCCTCCCCACCTCCCTCCTGCATCCCTGCCAGGTCCCTGCGAGCCCAGCCCCCGTGTTCCTCTGCTCACTGAACCAGGACTCCCAGGGGGAGGACCCGCTCGTGTGTGGCACCTCCTGGTCCTCAGGAGAACATGCCTCGCCTGGAGCCACAAGGGCCAAGTTCAACATGAGATGCCAGGCGGCTAGACCCTGGGGCACAGAGGGGGAGGTCCCCGAGAAGGATTCTTCGTAAACTTGGTCCACCCCCATCCCATCGTGCTCATCGTCCTTGAGAGGTTCAGGTCACTGTCTCTTTGCAACGAAGAAAATGAATCCCAAGGAAGTGAGAGGACATGTCCAAGGTCAAAGCAGAGGGAGAAGTCGTGGGCTGCTTGGAGGAGGAGGTTTCCTCTGTGCTCCCTTCTGCGCCTCCCAGTGAGACGGTCCGCAGGGGCTGAGTCCTGTGCTGTCCCCGCTCCAGCACCAGCGACAGGCTGCTTGTGGAGTGGGGCCCGGCCTGTGACCCCTGAGACTCCAGCCCCTTCTTTTAACTACGTGAGCCCAACCTTTCCTTGTGGCCTCATCTTTCTTCTTCTTTTAATCTGGAGGGAGGAACAGTTGGTTCAGGGTGATGTGGCTAGGATTAACTGGCCTTGGGTCTTGCCCCTGATTTCATGGTGAGTCAGTAGAAATTCATCCCTGGGTCCAGAGTCCCTGCTACTCTGTGCAGTCACCCCTCCTCTGATGTGGTCCCGGGACTAAGTCCAGAGGCCCGGGCACGTGTGTCCAGCTGGGACATGGGGTCAATTGTGAAGCACTCGGGAGGGCAGGCCCTGCTGGAGGCGGGGATGTGGTGTTATGCTCCAGGCCAGTGGTTCCTGCTGAGCATCAGTGAAGGAGACAGGACATGCCTCCATCGACCCAGAGCCTCTGACCCATCTCAGGAGCATCACAGGGCTTCTGGTACTGGAGGGTGGCCTCCACTTCCGCTAAGAGCTGCCCTTGGACAGGGGGGCCCTAGGAAAGAGATCATAATCATAGGTGCCAGGCTGACCTCTTCCTTTCCACAGTCTACCCTGCCCTAGAGAACTCAGAGGCTATACCTAGAATGTTGTAGGTAGGAGGAGTGCTTGCCTGGACACCAGAGCTTTTTCTGGTTTTATTGAAATAATTGTGTGCATCTTTATTACATAAAAAAGAAGAGTGGGGGGTCCCTTGGAAGACCTTGAAATTTATGGAGGCAAAGGAAGAAACAAATGCAGATTCTGCTTTGATTTGGGTCTCTAAAAGATCAAGTCCCAGCCTGCAGAGAATTGCAAGTCAGAGCTGATCTGTTTTGAGCCAACCCATCACCTCATGGTTGCAACGACTTTTGCTTGACTTGTTCTCGTCTCCTGCTCTTCTCTATGTCAAGCATATGAAAGGACTCTAGAAGTATCCTCTTCATCTCATACATCATAAAGGTGGTCAGCTCCTGCCTGCTCCATGCTTTGACTGCCCCCAGTGTTCACAGGTGGGTTCATAATGATGCCTTCATCAGCAAGTGTACTCCATCCCACCTCTCATAGCTCTCTGTGTCATAAGCAGACTCAGAATGCCTAATTAAGAAGCTCCAGGAAGATATCTGGAATGCAGACATTGGGGTTAGGTGCTGGGTGCAAGATTTACCACCAAGAAATGCTCATCAGCCCAAGTCTATTGGTTCCTTGAACCATTCCAGGAAGATTTTCTTTCCAGAAGGAGATGTTCTTAAGTCTAAAATAACATTATCTAGGAGTGTGCGTGCATGCATGCTTAGTCACTTCAGTTGTGTCCGACTCTTTGAGACCATATCTACTGTAGTCCACCAGGCTCCTCTGTCCCTGGGATTCTCCAGGCAAGAATACTGGAGTGGGTTGTCATTTCCTTCTCCAGGGGATCTTTCTGACTCAGGGATCAAACCCGTGTCTCCTGCATTGTCAGGCTAGTTCTCTACCACTGAGCCACCAGGGAAGGCCCTGTGTGTGTATATATAGGGTTGACCAAAGAGTTCATTCGGGTTTGTCCGTAAGATCTTACAGAAAAACCCAAGTGAAATTTTTGACCAACTATATATATATATATATAGCTGAACATGAGTTCATCTTGATATCTCTGATTTTAATCCAGTAACCCAGGGTTCATCCTAGCATTTTCTTTTTGCTTATTTCCAACTTCTCTCACAGAAACCTGGCTCTTATCTACCAGTTACTTACCTGTTCAATCTTTCATACCTGTAAAATAGTTTTAGAATTGTTTACCCACATCCTGTGAAAAACAAATTCACCAGAGACCTGCTGTCTGAAAAACTGAAAGAAACGGCTGCTTGCCAGTTTCCCACATTAAAATGGCATGCGAGAAATAAGCTTCTGTTCTTGAAGTCCATGATTTAGCCTGTTAGTTCTAAGGTAATCAAATGGGGAAGCAAGATTTGGAAGAGTTGGAAACTTACGTACACACTACAACAATAGAGGGGAGTGTGACAATGGCATCCAAGGGTAGTGGAATGGAGTGGGAAAAAAGTCAAGGACCGCAGCTGGCATATGAGTTTATTTGCTCTCAGTCAGAATGAACTGGTGTCTCAGTGGGAGGGTAGAGTTTTAGCTTCTTCAGTGATTAGCTGCAAAAGAAAAAGGTTAGATGCTTAGAGGCTCTGGAAATCTGGGAAGCAAGAATTCATTCCCAAGCTTAATATTATTCATCTTCACCAGACCTTGGAACAAGAATACTTCATGTAACAACAGGAATTGTCCACTTCTGATTTGGAGGAGGGGATAGTATTAGTTCACTGAATAGATGAAGGTAGAAATATGGGACCTGGCTAAACTAAAATGGTTCATGGAAAAGTCTGACTATGGATGCTATGGCTAGAAATCTGGACTAAAAAATAGAAAAACACCAAGCTGTTGAAATATAGAATGAAGACATCACGGGCATTAATTATATATTGAAAGAAACCAGGTGCCCCAAGCTGGTATCTTGGTCTATTTGCCAGTGAATTGGCTTTCAGGTTTAGGGGACATGGTCTTTTGCTACATTTGTGCCTAGGATTTGGGATCCCTCTGTTTAGGGATAACAGCATCTGAGAAGAAGGTGAGAATCAGTGATGACACACACCCAAGTGTGCACCTCCAAACTCACTGTATTTTCCCAGCAGATGTTTCCACAGTAGGTCCAGCAGCATGTGTGATTTATTTCTACACATCTAAAGCTTCTAGAACACCTCTTGCTACAGTCTCGGATGGTTGGCTGTCCCCAGCACTCCTCAAGGAACAATTCCCCCCTGAAAATGAGATGAGATGGTAAGACATTGATGGGGCCATATAGACAAGTGTGGGGAGGAAAGTCCTTCATAAGCTTAACAGTTTATGTTAAGCTAGAGGGCCCCTCTAGGGGCTCCTCCTAGAATCCTGGCCCCAAGTCCCCACCAAAGTACCTATCTTCTAAGAAAAATCCCCTTCGTTAGCCTCCTCATTGTATTTTCACTGACCCCATCGCATCTTCACTAACCTCTTAGACTTCTCTGCTCCCCAAGTCCTATAGTGTTGCAGACTTCTGGGTCCTCTTTGAGCATCCTAGAGATAGGACTCCATATACTCCCAGCATTCATATGCCTTCCTATAACAGTTGCATCTTTATAATGGGAGATCTCAGAGTCTGAGATAACCTCTACCCTCGTTATCACACCTATTTCATAGCATGGGAAACTAGACCAGGTAGAGTAAGGAATAGATTTGCCTCACTTTCTTCCCCTCCTTGCTGACCCTGCCTTTAATGTAACTCAGCCTCAGGACTTCTCTGGTGGTCCAGTGGTTAAGAATCTGCCTTCCAATGCAGGGGACATGAGTTTGATCCCTGGTCGGGGAACTAAGATCCCACATACTTCAGGGCAACTAAATCTGCATGCCACAACTGGAGAAAAAAAAAATCATCCCATTAAAAAAAAAGTGAAGTAATTCAGCCTCTCTCCAAATTCTTCTCTCTCTCATCTCATCTTCTGGGCCCCCTCCGTTGATTTCATTTTCTCATTATATGGCCCCCAACATTGCTCCACTAAAGACCCATCTCATGTCTCTTTTCCATCTTTTTACATTCTGAAATATCCTACCAATGGTTGGCTTTAACTCAAGCAGTCGTTCCATTGCATTGGACTTCTGAAATATCCTTCCACTAAATTAAGGGTATATATCAAGAAATGCCATTTGGTAATCATCAATGTGCACACAGTCAGAATACAGCACTTCTGGAAGAATGGGAAAATATGGTAGCTCTGGACTGGTGCCCCCTCTCCCCTGAGATAGCCTGACATGGGAAAATATCATATCCTTATAATTTATGGAATGCATCTAAAAGCTGACAGATACTCATTGATACTTTTAAGGTTGGAAGAAGAAACATTGAAGGATCTCAGCTTGGGAATTTCTTGGATCTCTGTCTATTGAAAAGTATCTATACACAAATGCTCTGACAGGTGATCCAGGGAAGTGAGTCCTGGGTCAGATGCATTAGGCACAATACTTCTTCATTTGTCCAGAAATAAACACAGCCCCGTCATGCCCTTTTGATCCTCAATCCAGCCTCATCACCTGTTATATCTTTCCTTCACTCCTCCCAGCACAGACAGTAGAAACATACAGAGGAACATCATGAGGAGAGGTGTCCAGAACTTCATGATGCTGACCATATATATACGTCTGAATAGGTGTTGTCAGGAGTTCTTTCCGTCCCAGTTGCTGCTAGAGATCAAAAGACACAAATAAAGAGAGCTGGGAAGCAAGAGGAAATTCTCATGGAATTTCTTTACACTCTGTCCTCTAATTATTCTTCCTTGCCTTCCACCACCCAACCACAGGTATAAACCAATTCTGGATGTTGACTTTGCTAAAAGGTATCTCTCCATCTCAAGTTTCATGCCTTCCTTTTGCAGGAAAACCTTTTTTTTTTTTAATGTGCTATCTTCCCTTGATTAAAAAATAGCTCAAGGGATTCCTGGTAGTCCAGTGGTTATGAATCTGCCTGCCAACACAGGGGACATGGGTTCGATTCCTGCTCTGGGGAGATCCCACATGCTGCAGGGCAATTAAGCCCATGTGCCACAACTACTGAGCCACCACTCTAGAGCTTGAGTGCCACAAATACTGAAGTCTACATGCCTAGAGCAAGTGCTCCCCAACAAGAGAAGCCACCATGCTGAGAAGCCCACACACTGCAACTAGAGAAAGCCAGCACACAGCAGCGAAGACCAAATGCAGTGAAATAAATAAATAAATCTTTAAAATAATGATAATTCAAATTTAGCTTACAAAACAAGCTTCATGCCTTCCTTTTGCAAGAAAACCCTTTTTTTTTTTTGCACGTGTGTTATTTTCCCTTGATTAAAAAAATGACTCAGGGTCTTCCCCGGTGGTCCAGTGGTTAGGAATCAGCCTTCCAATGCAGGGAACTTGGGTTTGATCCCTGGTCAGGAAACTAACTCACATAGCACAACTAGAGAGCCCATAAACTGCAACAAAAGATGAGCGTGGTGCAACTGAGACCCAACACCAAATAAATAAATAGAATATTTTTTAAAAGAAAAAAAAAAGGAAAGTGAGTGGTCAGGGAAAGATATCACAGTAAACTAGCTGTAAAAGAGATGGATTCAGCCAGATCAAGACAACCACAAGTGAGCAACTCCCATCAGTTGGGTGGGGGAAAACTCAAGCTATGAAACCACCCATGACAGTCAACTCGAAGCAGTACTAAGTCCAGAAAGTACAGACTTCAAGAGTGCAACACTGCTGGCCAGAAAGAGCTGTCCTGACTCCTTTATTCTTGCTCCCACCTCCAAAATAGCTCTTAGCTACCTTCGGAAATAGAGGAAAGAGAGAGGAAACTGCCTACTCTCTTTCTAGGTGTGGAGGGAACAACCATTTTAATTCAAGCTTAGTGTTTCAGCTGTTGCAACCCAAGCAACAAATGTTTCAACCCAAGCCCAACTATTGCTTCGGCTTAGACTTTTTTCTAAATTTATTATATTATATTTTGAAAAATCTAATAATATGTTACTGGCATATAATATAATATATTATATTTTAAGTTTAAACAGTGACTAGAAAAGTCTAGTTCTATACCCAAGCTCTCATACAGAACCAGGAAATGAAGTAGCTTTTCTAGATATATTTAAATGGGACAAAGGACAAGACTTTCAACATGTTACTAGTAACATTCCCAATGAATATTGATGTTTTGTGTACCAGTAACACAGATCATTGGAGAAGGCAATGGCAACCCACTCCAGTACTCTTGCCTGGAAAATCCCATGGACGGAGGAGCCTGGTGGGCTGCAGTCCGTGGGATCGCTAAGAGTCGGACATGACTGAGCGACTTCACTTTCACTTTTCACTTTCATGCGTTGGAGAAGGAAATGGCAACCCACTCCAGTGTTCTTGCCTGGAGAATCCCAGGGACGGCGGAACCTGGTGGGCTGCCGTCTATGGGGTCGCACAGAGTCGGCCACAACTGAAGTGACTTAGCAGCAGCAGCAGCAGCACAGATCATTAATATTTTCCCATGGATCATAAGACATCTGAAAATTTGTGACTTCTCTTCCTTAGGGGGTAAAAATATCATTGGAAACCCCCTTGCAACTGAAATTTGGTTAAATGCATTTGTAGATGTGGAGGTCCTTGGACAAAGGATACTGCCTGTTTGTGTGATTCTCAAACACAGACTCACAGACTTGGAGAAGGAACTTATGGTTACCAGGGGGGAATAGCTAGGGAGTTTGGGATTGACGGATACACACTGCTATATTTAAAGTGGAAGAACTTCCCTGGGGGTCCAGTGTTTAAGATCCCTCGATTCCAGTGCAGAGGGGCACAGGTTGGATCCCCAGGCTGGGAACTAAGACCCCGTTTGCCCCACATGCCTCATGCTGTGGCCAGAGATTTTTTTTTTTAATTTTTAAAAATTAAAACTGATAACCAACAAGGACCTACTGTATAGCACAGGGAACTCTGCTCAATATTATGCAACAATGGGAAAAGAATTTGAAAAAGCATTTTTAAAAAATAAAAGAAAAGAGAGGTAGGATGAATTGGGAGATTGGGATTGATAAATATACTAATATATATACAGATACATGTATAAATGTATAAAACAGATGACTAAGGAGACCCTACTGAAAAGTACAAGGCACTCTACTCCAGGCTCTGTGGTGACCTAAATGATCTGAATGGAATAAAGAGCTGTACATATATACATATATATATATATATAGTTGATGTACTTTGATGAACAGAAGAAACTAACGCAACATTGTAAAGTGACTATACCTCAAATTTTTTTAAGTACAATTTAATGTTATCAATAACAGCTGCGGTTTCTCATACCCTTAAAGAGTTAGACATAAAGGAACCTAGAGACACATAACTCTAAAATGTTTAATTATATTAAAAAAATTGGTTTATTTTACCAACAGGATATACATCCTGTCTTATCACTAGGGGGGAAATTCTCTCCCACTTGACACCACACTGAAAACTGTCAGTGTGGTATAGACAGTAAATTCCTGTGACTCTCTGTCTCTGGAGTCAGAGATTCAAATTCCTGTGAATTCCCAACCCCAACATGCCTCATTTAATATAAGCTATGTGTTTGGCTAATCATCTAATTTCTCAAAGACTCAGTTTCCCTGGATGTATTATTCTTGGGCTCCAAAATCACTGTAGATGGTGACTGCAGCCATGAAGTTAAAAGATGTTTTCTCCTTGGAGGAAAAGCTAGACAGCAATAGACAGCAATAGACAAACCTAGACAGCATATTAAAAAGCAGAGACATCACTTTGCTGACAAAGGTCTGTATAGTCAAAGCTATGGCTTTTCCAGTAAATGGATGTGAGAGTTGGACCATAAAGAAGGCTGAGCATGAAAAACTGATGCTTTTGAACTGTGGTGTTGGAGAAGACTCTTGAGAGTCCCTTGGACTGACAAAGAGATCAAAAGAGTTAATCCTAAAGGAAATCAATCTTGAATGTTCATTAAAAGGACTCATGCTGAAGTTGAAGCTTCAATAGTTTGGCTACCTGATGCAAAGAGCTGACTCATTGGAAAAGATCCTGATGCTGGAAAATATCCAAGGCAGGAGGAGAAGAAGATGACAGAGGATGAGATGGTTGGATGGCATCACCGACTCAATGGACATGAGTTTGAGCTAGCTCCGGGAGATGGTGAAGGACCAGGAAGCCTGGCATGCTTCTGTGGGGTTGCAAAGAGTCTGACATGACTGATCGACTGAACAATATGCGGATGATATATTCACATAGCAAGCGTTGACTGTATGAAGCACTAGCAAAAAAATTTAAGTTTTAAAAATTAAAAAATAAAGCCTCTTGGCATATGTTACAAATTATAAAATAGGAAAAGATAGAAAATTTGAGGGATTTCCCTGGTGGTCCAGTGGCAGACTTTGCCTTCTGATGCAAAGGGGTTTGGATTCAGTCCCTGGTTGTGGAGCTAGATCCCACAGGCCTTGTGGCCAAAAAATCAAAACATAAATAAAAGAAGCAATATTGTAACAAATTCAATAAAAATACTTTTAAAAAATGGCCCACATCAAAAAAAAATCTGTTAAAAAATAATAAAATAAAAATTGAGGCACATAGACTGTTAGCTGGGTTGCCTTTAACTTCTAAAAATCTGTTATTTGGAAATGATTTCAAAATTACAAGAGTAAGGCTAGTCAAAGAACTTCTACATACTATTTACTCAGATTCACCTATTTTAAGAATTTACCCCAATTGCTTTCTCTCTCTCTAGCATGTGTGTGTGTGTGTGTGTGTGTGTATATATATATATATATATAGCTGAACCATTTGAGGGTAAGTAGATACATTATTGGAGAAGGCAATGGCACCCCACTCCAGTACTCTTGCCTGGAAAATCCCATGGATGGAGGAGCCTGGTGGGCTGCAGTCCATGAGGTCACTAAGAGTCGGACACGACTGAGCGACTTCACTTTCATTTTTTTCTTTCATGCGCTGGAGAAGGAAATGGCAACCCACTCCAGTGTTCTTGCCTGGAGAATCCCAGGGACGGCGGAACCTGGTGGGCTGCCGTCTATGGGGTCGCACAGAGTCGGACATGACTGAAGTGACTTAGCAGCAGCAGCAGATAAATAATGGTCCTTTTTTAGGAATAATACTTCAATGAGTATTAACAATAGGAACATTCTCTTCTGTGATCACAGTACAACTCTCAGCTTCACTAAAATTAACATTTCTAAAATCTTTTAATCGAATCTACCATCAGTATCCCACTGTGTAAATTCACCCAACAATGCCCTTTGTCTTTTATGAGGTTGAAATTTTTGACGACGCTAAACAATTTTTTCTTTTAATTAAACATTCCTCATGTGGGGTTTGTTTCTAATTTCTTCATGATTAGGTGCAGGTCACACGTTCTCCCTGAGACTACTCTGAAGACAATACATAATGGCCTATGTATTGCAGACAATACATAGTGTCCTGTGTATTGTAGACTGTACATAGTGACACGGTGTCCATCTGTCTCATCTTTCTCTTACTTTCCCCATTTGAACATCAAGGACGATTACTTCTTTTCTAGAGGGATAGTGTTGTTTTAATTTGGGAGCATGATTTGGACACAAGCCACAAATGAAAGCATTTTCAGGCTCACATTTCCAGCCCCAAGATTCTGATCTTCACTTACCTCTGAAGTTGTTCGAGTTGGAGGTGCTGGTATTTATATGACGGATGGCTCTTCTTCCTGGTCTGTGCAAACTGCCAAACCCTTGCACAGGGGGAATCTGATGAGCAGAACAGAGCTCAAAGGTTCAGAATGTAATCATGGTTCTGGTTGTGGCAGATCTGGGAGTTCTGCCAGTAAGTTGGGTACATATAGAACATTGTCCCCAAATTTCTGTAAAAACTACTCAAGGAGTACTTTTTCTTTTTTGTCTCTTTGTGCTGCAGGTAATGCAGGTAAAAGTCAAACACTGGAGAACTGCAGGAGTCTCCCCTCCCCCAACACACACATTTCCTGGATGTCTGTGATTGTACAGGTAGTGAAGGATCTGAGTATCTCTTTTTTTCTAACATTAGTGTAATGACTTTGTAACACCCTATCCGTCTCTATGTTAACTTCTCCACGGTTAGCATTAGCCTTACACTACCTGAGCACAATGTCCTGTGGGTTTTGAGCTACTGAAAAAACAGACCTCTGCCAAGAGAGCTTGGAAAGGCTACCTAATACGGAGATTTACAACACAGACTTAACCTGGATTCAAATTCTAGTTCCCACTTACTTTGGGTGAGTCACTAATCTTCTCCATGCATCAATTTCCTCATTGACAAATTGGATTAATAGCGGTGCTTTCCTCATAGGGTTATTGTGAGGGTTCCATGTATGATGATCTGTTAAGCACTTAGAACCAATGTCTGAAATACAGGCAGTGATTGCAGGTTAGTTACATCAACAAATGAGAGTGTTACCCAATGAAGTGTCAAGCATCACCCAGTTTAATACCAAATTTACTGTCAGTATTTAACATGTATTAGCTAGTACTCTCAATGACCCTATGAGTTTAGTACTATCATTCCTATTTTACAGATACAGAAACTGAGACACAGAGGAGTTAAGCAACTCCTTGAAGTTCTTAAGGGCAAGATATAAATAAATAAATAAGAAACTAAGTAAGTAAATAGACACAGCCTAATTGTGGCTATCTCATTTTAGCTGTTTTCAGAAAATCCATACAGATCAATAAGGAGCAAATAAATCACTCCACACATAACTGTCAGCCTAGTGAGGAAATAGAGGATGTTACAAATTTAAATCTGTTAGGAGAGAAATAAACACCCCAATTCAGCAGATGCGGTGTCGGAGTCCATGTCTGTGCGTGCGTGCTTAGTCACTCGGTCACGTCCAACTCTTAGAGGCCCCATGGACTGTAGACCACGAGGATCCTCTGTCGATGGGATTTTTCAAGCAAGAATACTGGACTAGGTTGCCATCTCCTTCTCTAGGGGATCTTCCTGACCCAGAGATCGAACCTGCGTCTCTTGTGTCACAGGCGGATTCTTTACCCGCTGAACCATCAAGGAAGCGGAGACATAGGAAGACCACAGAGACGGGATGCTTGGAAATGAGGCAGGGGCACTGGGCTTCACACAGGACACAGGTAAAATAACCCTCAGAAAAGGAGTCTGAACGCAAACAGAGGAATACTGAGAACAAGGCTGACATCTACAGTAGATCCCTGGATCCTGAAAATCAAAAGGAGAGGTGCAAGTGCAGGAAACCCTAAACAGGCAAACACAGGAAGACACCATTTCTCAGAGTGCCAACAGTGACACAGAAATGGCAGGACCTCTTGTGGACTTAGAGGCCGTGGGAAAGAAGGAAGCTAGAGGAAGTCAGTGGGTCCTCAGAGTCCAAACACCTGGTTATACAGGTGACTCATTTCCTCTGGAGCCGATCAAGCCCAGTCTCGTTTATACCATTTCCATTTGACAGGGAACTGCCTCTATGCACTGCCCCCCATTTTGAGACTTCATAGATCAGATAACCCCCAAGTTGTGATGGAACCTTCCAGTTGCAGAGTGGTTTGATATTCCCTGGTCAGACTTGGGTCTTTACCAGGGTTTGCTAGCAAGGAAAAAGCTGCTTCAAAAATGGAAACTATCTGACAACAGAAGAGAAAGTCTGACCTCAATACAGGTGTGTATTCTTTGATTCTCCTACTGGAACTTGCAAAGAGACCAGTCAGCATCTTAACCAACCACAGACACTTTGTATACTGCATGTGCTAGGAGCCAAGACCCAAGGGGCAGGCAACTTGCAAAATATCCTGGCCCTGTTACAGAAATATTCCTTAATCTGGATTCCACTCAAAACTAGCAGCCTTGGACTCCCCTGGTGGTCCAGTGGATAAGAATCTGTCTGTCAGTGCAGGGGACATGGGTTCAATCCCCTGTCTGGGAAGGTTCCACATGCCGCGGAGCAATTAAGCCTGTGTTCTAGAGCCGAAGAGCCACAACTACTGAACCAGCACGCTGCAAGTACTGAAGCCCATGTGCCTATAACCAGTGCTCTGCAACAAGAGAAGTCACTGCAATGAGAAGCCCATGCACAGCAGCAAAGAGCAGCCCCCAATCACTGCAACTAGAGAAAGCCCACGTGTGGCTCTGAAGACCCAGTGCAGCCAAAAATAAAAGTCAATGAATTAATTATCTTAAAAAACTATCAGCCTTATGTTCCCCCAGAAAGTCAATGAGAGCAGAGTGCCCCCAGAGTGGCCTTTATTGTCTCCAAAATCCAAACAGCTCCACCAAGGGAGATCCCTGGTGGTCCAGTAGTTAGGACTCGGTGCTTTCATTGTTGTGGTCTGGGTTCGGTCCCTAGTTAGGGAACTAAGATCCTGCAAGCTGTGTGTCATGGCCAAAAACCAAAGCAACAACAACAACAAAACAAGGAGCCCCACCACGCATTGTGTCTTTCTTCACGGTGGGCAGCAGAAGGTGCAGCAGCTTGTCTGCTGCCTCAGAGGGACTTTCCTATACGCCTGGACAGCTGGATCTCTGGAAATGTTACCAGCAGAGCAAGTCCTGGACTCTTGTCAGGTGTCAGGCTACTGTCAGTCTGGACTATTGCGCCACCCTCTGGCATGCAAGTGCTAAAGCACCTAGGATGCCTGCTATTTCCATTCTCTATGGCCAGTGAGCAGAGTGTCATATGTGTGATGAATCCTCCGTGATGGTCCATGGAATACCAAGGGATCAAAGTCTTTTCAGACTATGAAGTCAAAAGCCCAAAGACACACACATGAAAAGATGCTCAACATCACTCATTATCAGAGAAATGCAAATCAAAACCTCAATGAGGTACCAATACACACCAGTCAGGATGGCTGCTATCCAAAAGTCTATAAGAAATAAATGCTGGAGAGGGTGTGGAGAAAAGGGAACCTTCTTACACTGTTGGTGGGAATGCAAACTAGTACAGCCACTATGGAGAACAGTGTGGAGATTCCTTAAAAAACTGGAAATACAACTACCATGTGACCCAGCAATCCCACTCCTGGGCATACACACCAAGGAAACCAGATCTGAAAGAGACACATGCACCCCAATGTTCATCGCAGCACTGTTTATAATAGCCAGGATATGAAAGCAATCTAGATGCCCATCAGCAGACGAATGGATAAGGAAGCTGTGGTACATATACACCATGGAATATTACTCAGCCATTAAAAAGAATTCATTTGAATCAGTTCTAATGAGATGGGTGAAACTGGAGCCCATTATACAGAGTGAAGTAAGCCAGAAAGATAAAGACCAATACAGTATACTAACACATATATATGGAATTTAAAAAGATGGTAATGATAACCCTATATGCAAGACAGAAAAAGAGACACACATGTACGAAACAGACTTTTAGACTGTGGGAGAAGGCAAGGGTGGAATGTTCTGAGAGAATAGCACTGAAACAAGTATACTATCAAGGATGAAACAGATCACCAGCCCAGGTTGGATGCATGAGACAAGTGCTCAGGGCTAGTGCAATGGGAAGACCCAGAGGGATGGGATGGAGAGGGAGGCGGGAGGGGGGATCGGGAAGGGGAACACATGTAAATCCATGGCTGATTCATGTCAATGTATAGCAAAAACTACTATGATATTGTAAAGTAATTAGCCTCCAACTAATAAAAATAAATGGGGGTGGGATCATAAAAAAGAAAAAAAGCCCAAAGAGATGAATTAGTCATTAAGTAAGACACCGAGGGTCTATTGCTAGGTCTGTACATGGGAGAAAGCTACTTCCTATTATCTTGGTTGATAGGAACGAGAGGTAAAAATTTGCTAGGGGAAACTCTGGAACTTGAGAGGAGAACAAATCACGTAATAAATAAATATATAGACAGACAGACAATAGATAATGAATGAATGAATAAGGCATAGCAACCACGAGCCCATGTGTTTGTCACAAACAGATCAGTCCTGATCTGCGATTTTCTGTAGGCAGGGACTTGACCTTTTGGAGACCCAGATCATGGCAAAGTCTGCATTGGTTTCCTCCTTTGTCTCCACAGATTTCCATGTCTTCCAAGGGACCCCCCACTCCTCCCTTTTATGTAATAAAGAGGCCATTGTTTATTCTAATAAAAACAGAAATGAAGTGGTATCCGGGCAAGCACTCCTCTTTCCTAGCCATAGCATTCTAGGTGTGGCCTCTGAGTTCTTTAGAGCAGGGTGGACTGTCCAGAGAGGGTCAGGGTACCAGTCACCACAGGGAGAAGGGCAGCTGCTTCCAGTAAATTCATGGTGCATGGTGTTCACCAGTGGTAAGGAGTAGGTCAGCCTGGTACCTGTGATACACCAATGAAGTAGGACACAATGTCCACGGGAGGTCATTCACCATGTGGCCCTGGGCAGGTGATTTTGCCTCTCCTAACAGTCTGTCCCAGGGTGTTTGAGGGGATTGTCAAACATTGGGAAAATGCTTGTAGAGTGAGATTATCTGAGGAAGGACCACATAAGAACTCCTATAGAGCATGCCCTTAGCACCCAACTACCTCCAATAATGTCTGAGTTGCTAGTGGATCATGATCTCTTTCCTAAGGCCCCCTTGTCCAAGGGCAGCTCTTAGAGGAAGTGGAGGACACCCTCCAGTACCAGAAGCCCTGTGATGCTCCTGAGATGGGTCAGAGGCTCTGGGTCGATGGAGGCATGTCCTGTCTCCTTCACTGGTGCTCAGCAGGAACCACTGGCCTGGAACATAACACCACATCCCTGCCTCCAGCAGGGCCTGCCCTCCCGAGTGCTTCACAATAGACCCCATGTCCCAGCTGGACACACGTGCCCGGGTCTCTGGACTTAGTCCCGGGACCACATCAGAGGAGGGGTGACTGCACAGAGTAGCAGGGACTCTGGACCCCAGGGGTGAATTTCTACTGACTCACCATGAAATCAGGGGCAAGACCCAAGGCATCCTGTGCCAGTTAATCCTAGCCACATCACCCTGAACCAACTGTTCCTCCCTCCAGATTAAAAGAAGAAGAAAGATGAGGCCACAAGGAAAGGTTGGGCTCACGCAGTTAAAAGAAGGGGATGGGGTCTCAGGGGTCGCAGGCCGGGCCCCACTCCACGAGCAGCCTGTCGCTGGTGCTGGAGCGGGGACAGCACAGGACTCAGCCCCTGCGGACCATCTCACTGGGATGCGCAGAAGGGAGCACAGAGGAAACCTCCTCCTCCAAGCAGCCCACGACTTCTCCCTCTGCTTTGACCTTGGACATGTCCTCTCACTTCCTTGGGATTCATTTTCTTCGTTGCAAAGAGACAGTGACCTGAACCTCTCAAGGACGATGAGCACGATGGGATGGGGGTGGACCAAGTTTAAATGAGTCCTTCTCGGGGACCTCCCCCACTGTGCCCCAGGGTCTAGCCTCCTGGCATCTCATGTTGAACTTGGCCCTTGTGGCTCCAGGCGAGGCATGTTCTCCTGAGGACCAGGAGGTGCTGCACACGAGCGGGTCCTCCCCCTGGGAGTCCTGGTTCAGTGAGCAGAGGAACACGGGGGCTGGGCTCGCAGGGTCCTGGCAGGGATGCAGGAGGGAGGTGGGGAGGGGGAGTAGAGAAGCTTGACAAGGGGAGAGAAATCAGAGACCTGGACCCAGAAAGGGGGAGCCCTCTGGGGTCTGCGCTGGATCCTCCATGATCACAGACACGGGGAGTGAGCCAGGCAGGTCCTTCCACATTTGTTCTGGTTTATTTGACAGGGACAGGTTGTTCAGGTACTGGCTGGACAGGGTGGCATTCCTGTTATATCCTGTGTCCAGGGTCAGGTCCTCGTCTTCAGCCGCAGGCAGTGTCTGTGAAGACGGTTGGCGGGGGCAGGATGCCTGGCCCCCTGCTCTCTGACTCATAGGATGTTCATACAAACATTCCCGCAGAAGGTTGAGCAGCATACGGTATTTTGTGGACAGTGCTGGAAGTATGAACAGTGGTTCTCACAAGTAAACTCTTTGGGTCGCTTCGTACAGGCTTTAGCTTTGAGATCTAAAAAGAACAGGAGGAGAAGCAGGGTCAATGGAACCAGCCTCCACAGAACACTCCTCTCTAGTTGAAAGCCTCCCCAGAGAACTGAGACCTCAAAATTTACTCAGGAGAAACTTGGACTTTTCAGGGAACTCACCTCTGCCCTTCACCAGATCCTGGTGATGGGTAGTATCTTAAATCCCACTCCTCCTACTCTTCCCCAGTGGACCTCAATGTCTGGACTTCTGACTCTCTCCATAATCCTGCAACAGGACTCCATCTCCCATACTAGTCATAGCTTTGGCCAAATCACCTCCACAGAACCTGCACCTGAACCCTGAGAACTCCACAAAGGCGAGGATGACCTGCTAACTCTCCCCTACTCTCCACGATCTGCAGGGACCAGAGAGGAAGGTGAATTTGCCCCTCCATCCTCTCTCCTCTCATACTGCCACTGTCTGCACGATCCCTGCCGCTTCCCAGCTACACAGCACCCTCAGTGTTTCCCTTCCACTCTCCCCATCCTGCTCCCTCGGAGATAAATTTATCTTGACCCTTGCACCCCAAATGTTGCTCTCCCACATACTTTCATTCTACACCTACTCCCCTGAATGTCTCGGTATGTTTACCTGTCACCTGTGTGCATAAACCAAAGAACAGTTGTTTGTTTTCTCACCTGATTCTCGCTCAGGTGTATCTTGCCCCATTGTAGGTACCACGTGTCTCTGGATTTGGGGGATGGGGAATGAAAAGATGCAGGTTCCCCCTCCACCCCCATCACTCTTCCCAGAGCCAGATAAAGAGACTGGAGGACCGTGGTTTGGGAAGAACCAGAGTCTTCATAGTGCCGTGGTCCAAATAGGATGTTTCAGAAAGTTCTAATTCCCAGGTTCTCCTTAGACTGGACACGTCACCCCTCCTGCCCCCCCCCCCATCACCTACGGTTCATCCTCTGGCTGCGTTGCCCTCCCCGGGCCTGCAGCAGCAGGACGCAGAGGAGCAGGATGGACAGCAGAGCCTGGGTTCTCATGACTCTGGCCGGAGTGGTGAGCGCTCCGTCTGGCCCGGACTCCCCTGGACAGCTGATTGGGGAGGGGGAAGGGAAGGAAGGGGAGGTGATCCTGGGCTCCTCGCTGCCTCCCCTGGCCAAGCCGGGGCAGAGCAAGGAGCCCTTGTTTCCCGCCCTGGGCTGCCCCTCACCACGGCCCACTCCTGTGACCCTGGGGCTCCTACAGGGACGGTCCTCCTCTCATAGCTAATCTTCTCCTTTTGCAAAAAAAACTATTTTTTCTGCAAAAAAACAGTAGCTCTATATTTTGTTTATAAAATAATTTACAGAAGAAATTAAAGAAGGAACATAGTTTAAAAGATACAGAAACAACCAAAGTCCAACCATAGATGGCTGGATAAAGAAGATGTGATATATATATATATATATATAAAATGGAATATTATTCAGCCATGAGAAAGAAGGAAGTCCTGGCACTGATGACAACTTGGATGAAACTTGAAGCATTAGGATAAGTGAAAAAAGCCATACAGGAAAAGATAAATGATATCACATGTGTGTTATCTAAAAAACTGAACTCATAGAAACAAAGAGTAGTATTGTGGTTCATAGGAGCTGGAGGTTGGGGGACAAGAGGAGATTTAGGGAAATGGTCCAAACTTTCAGTTATAAAATTAATAAATTCTGGGAATGGAATGTACAGCCTAGTGGTTACAACTAATCTTAGTGTATTATATACCTGAAAGTTCCTAACAGAATAAATCTTAAATATTATCATCATTTAAAAGAAATGATGGGGACTTTCCTGATGGTCCAGTGGCTAAGAATCCACCTTCCAATTCAAAGGACGAGGTTCAATCCCTGGCTGGGGAAATAAGACCCTGCATGCCACAGAGTGTAACCAAAAAAAAAAAAAAGACAATAAAGTTCCAAGAGGAAAAATACAACTGATACAACTGTCATTATTTGCAGATGATGTTGAATACTTTGAACACTGAAAAGAACACATCGCAATATTACAGTAAACAATGGGCGAGTTTAGCAAGATAACTGGCTACAAATCAATATGCAAAAGTCCATTTATCTACATTAGCAACAAACGAAAAGGAATAATTAAAAAGCTAGGATGTTGTTTACAATGTTAACAATTCAAACCTCTAGGAATAAATATAACAAAGACAAGCCAGAACTCTACGTGGAAGAACTTATTAAAACTTTGTGAAAGGATATTAACAAGACAGAAATAAATGAGAGACCTAACAAGGTCAGGATGAGGGGGGTGATGACAGTGTGGATTTGAAAATGCTTCTTGACCGCGTAGTAGGCGTGGTTGGGAGGTGCTCAGATTTCTGCCAAAGCCTCCTGATTGGTGGACATGGTGTAAGGCAGTCACAGCTCCTCGCCTTCACTTTGCCTTCTGTTCTAAGCTGTGCCTGGTCACAACTTTGACCAGGACTTGCCTACCCATCCTACCAGCAGCATGAAGCCTGCGCTGTTTCTCCAGCTCCTGCTGTTGACTCACTTAGCATCGCAGCTGGTGTCTGGGAGTCCCAAGCAACATTTTAGGAGTAGGTGCTGGGTCTGGGCCCAGGGGAGGGAAGAAGCATCTGGAGAGATGAGAGGATGCGAGGGATGGGTACATCTCATTAAAAAATACAGTTTTGTGTTCAAAAGTCCAAGTTTTATTGTCAGCAAGATCTAGGTTTGAACCCCTGCTCTGTTTCACACTGAGTGAGCTTAAGTAGAGCGTCTGACCTTTGGATTTTATCTTTGTGATGGATAGAATGATAGTGGGGTAGCTGGGAGACTAAATGGAGACGATGCATGTAAACATAGAGTGCCCCTACTGAACCAGGGTAAGTGCTCGATAAGTATTAAATACTGTAAATGTTATCAGCTCCATCATCCAGCTTCTTCACAGATGCTTGGGCCAACTTTTCAAGCATTGAAACAGGAAAATTAAATTGGCAGAATTCAACCTGAGACCTACATAATCTCAGCCTCAGAGGATATTTTGCGAGGAAAGGAAACAAAGTGTTGCATTTCATTTCCCATGTTAAATGCTCAGAGGTGTCTGCACAGTCATCAGAGATTAGCACCCACGGGAAGGTGTGGAGTTCATCTCTGCAGCCACTGTTGCCTAGCTCCAACCAAATAAGAGCTCTGGCCACAGTTACTTTGATGATCAAAACCAAATGGAAAATGAGTTGTCATTCATTATCCCTGCACTTCTCCATAGGAGATGTATCTTCAGAATATTGGAGGCTCAGGAGAGGATTGTGTGTACTATCTCATGTATCTAGGGAGGCAAGGTCCTATGTTAGGGTTCTCAGAGAGAGAGTGCAGGTTAACCAAGGAAGGCTAAACAAGCTGCAAGAGAATGGGGTTATCCAGGATAGGGGCTAGCTGGAGAACCAGAGACTAAAATTTGAGGAGAGAGAGACACAGAGGCTTTATGAAAGGTTGGTAAGGACCAGATACCCTGTAAAGGAAGCGAAACTTGAGAAGGTCAACCTCTCTGAGATTCCTGGCTCATGGACTCTTTTTCCACAGTGTTCCACTGAGCACCAAGCTCTCCAAAGTGAAGATCAGCTCCAATTTCTTTTTTTAAATTTTTGGTTGTGTTGGGCTTCATTGCTGCGCGAGGGTTTTTTCCAGTTTCAGCAAGCAAAGGCTGCTCTTCATTGCAGTGCACAGGTTACCTCTCGCGGTGGTTTCTCTTGTTGTGGAGCACAGGCTTAGGCACACGGGCGTCAGCAGTTGCAGCATATAGGCTCGGTAGTCGTGTCGCTAGGGCCTAGTAGCTCCACGGCATGTGGAATCTTCCCAGACCAGGGACTGAACCCATGTCCCCTGCATTAGCAGGCGAATTCTTAATCACTGAACCACCAGGGAAGCCCAATTTCTTGCACTGATCCAGTGAGCTAAGGAATGACAGGCTGAATACTGAGTACACTGTGTTAGTTGCTCAGTCATGTCCAACTCTTTGTGACCCCATGGACTGTACAGCCCATCAATCTCTTTTGTCCATGAGATTTTCCAGGTAAGGATACTGGAGTGGGTTGCCATATCCTTCTCCAGGGGATCTTCCCGACTCAGGGATCGAACCCAGGTCTCCTGCACGGCAGTCGGGTGCTTTACTGTCTGAGCTACTAGGGAAGCCCTGGTTTCTGCCAAATTGTCATCAGCCTGGTTCTTGGCTTCTTAGCCACCATCTCCGGTATCATTTGCTATTACTGTTATAGCCCCAGCTTCATTAATCACTTACTCCTTTTAGATCAGCATGATATCCTACAGATCCCCTTGTAATTGCAAATACCTGCAGAGCAGTAAACCAACAAAAGCTTACAGAATGCTCTTCTTATGACATTTGCCCCAAAGAAAAGACAAGTCAAAAGGAACAAAAATTAAGATCTGGCAGGTCTTGACTAAAGGAGTTAATGGGTTTGTTCTTAATGGCTTAGAGTTCAGGAACAGAGAGAATATTGTGAGCTGGAGCCTTGGGGCAGGATCCCATGGTAGAGGTGCTCTTGGCTTTGATCTGATTTCTGGTAGGTGGGGTAAAGGAATGCCTAAGTAAAATATTTATTCTTCTTTAGCAATAGAAAGTGGGGGACCCTGGAACTCTGACCTCACAATCGCTACAGACCTGGGAAGATGAAACTGCTGATCTTTGCACCCTGTTCTGAAATATCCATCCTTCTTACCATGAGAGAAGTCACCCCCAGATGAGATTTGGATTCTAGCATTCTGATGCCAATAACTTGAGTGTGCTATGCAGTCTTTATCCATTTCAAAAATCATCCCTTTTACTCATTCTTCCTATGCACAAATAACATGTTAGGTCAAACCCTAGGATAAACTATTGTTTATTTGAGTCTGCACAATGAATCAGAACAAATGGACCGGCACACATATGCCATTCATTCCCTTGAACCAGACTCAACCAGGGCCGATGGGGACTTAGCATTTGATCTGCAAGGGTGATGAGTGACCCCTGCGTGTAGGATTCTCCCAAACTCCATCTTTGATGGAAAGAGTTCTCAGCCCAAAAATCTTACTCTACCTCCCTGTAACCACACTAGAGGATCAGCATGCCTGGTTCCCTGGCAGTTCCTTGGCCTCGTAGAGTTCTGAACGTCACTCCAGTCTTCTCTTTTCTACTCTGTGTTCCAGGGTATATCTTGGAACCTCCACCCTGCCGATCAGACCCGGAAAACTGTACCGAGTTCTGCACATTACAGGAAGATTGCCAACCAGGATTTCAGTGTTGTTCTGCCTTCTGTGGTATAGTTTGTACATTAAACAAACATGTAAACCGCGAAAGGTAAGGACATTTCCTGCCCAGCCCTGACCATAGCACTGCTGGTAAGAGCTCAATAAAGAGTCTCTTACTAGTCACGATGATGGATCTCTTTCTCTCTAACATTTTCTTTCTCTTTATCAAGAATAATTACCATAAATGTCCTGATGGAAGGAGCCTTCCTCCACTCAAGAACTATATAATCATTCTCTCCCTATCATCATATCTGTCAATCTCTGTACCTGTCTCTCTGAACACACTGATAAACTTCTCCATTCACTGACCTGTCTCTGAATCCATGCTCTGGGACCTGCATCTGGAGCTGCATCACCAGAATCCCGAAGCAACTCTGTTCTCTGGTTTTGCTCACCCTCTTTTACCAAACACCACATTTCCGCCCCCCTCCCCACCCCCAGTGTTCCTGGTTTCTGCAGATGCTCCAGTACAAGGGATGCTCTGATTACTTGCCCAGGCATCAGCACTGGCCCCAATTCTGCTGAATAGGGAGAATTCCCAGAAGAGAGAAAGGGTATTATAGGCCCGATGAAATGTCTGGTTTCTAATCCTATCTTGCAACCATGTCTTTCTGTGACCTTGAGTAGGACAATTCCCTATTTTTGCCTTTCATTTTCTCATGCAGAAAATGGAGACTCTTTTTCTTCTAGCCTTGCAAGATGGTTATGGAGGTATAAACAAGATCTCAAGAAAGCCATAAGACAGGAGACATAACCAGTGAGATTCTAAACTATCTTACTCTCTGCTACATTTCCTGCCTTGAGCATTATAGCCCACATAGGACCTTGGTCCAGAGTGACCAAATATGAGCCCAGAACTAGATCTCTGGGCCCAAATCCTGGCTTCACCACTTCTCAGCTGTGTGATTTGGGCCACAGCTTCCCCATCTTTAAAACTGAAACAGCAAAAGTGAAATTAAAGTAGAAAACCCAGACAATCTCTAAAAACATTGCTTGCCACATAATTCTATCTTCTTTCCTTTCTGTATAAGTGTTAGTCGCTCAGTCATGCCCAACTCTTTGTGACCCCAAGGACTATAGGCCGCCAGGCTCCTCTGTCCATGAAATTCTCCAGGCCAGAATACTGGAGTGGGTAGCCATTCCCCTCTCAAGGAGATCTCCCAGCCCAGGGATCGAACCCAGGTGTCCCACGTTGTAGGCAGATTCTTTACTGTCTGAGCCACCAAGGATGCCCTTTGCCACATAATTACTCAGGAAATTTTAGTGATGAGACAACCACTTCTCTCTCAAGACTGGCCCTCACCATTCAGCTCGACATCTTTCAAAGCTCCACCTTGGAAGGCACAAGCCTAAGTCTGAACCTCTGCGCTCTCTGGGTTTTCTGAGGTTCCACTTTCCCTATGACATGAGACTAGCGTCACGGTTTTGTTGCAATCATGGAAGTAGTGGAAATTTTTTAAATGATATCTCTAAGAAAAAAACCTCATCAGGTAACATTTGAAAATGTTTTTCTTCTACAGACCCAAAATCAAAACCTTGAGAAACAACAGGGTTGGCGAGTGAGGCATATTTTCCAGAGCATTTTGTAAGTATCACGGTTGGACCTGGGCTTCCCCAGACAAGTTTTCTCCAGTTTTCCTTCTCCAGCCTCTCCAGAGACTCATAGATTCCCAAAAGGTCAGAAGAGCCTTTTGTCACTGATGGCCCTGCCTCCATTGTTCCCCTCCTGAGGCTATGTCCTCACTCCTTGGGGCAGGATGTGGTCCAGAGTCAGTTCAGCAACACAGAACATCGAAGGAGGCTGGGTCTTGGCCCAAGGTGAACTCAGGACACTCAGATCTGAATCTATGCCAGGGACCAGGGTCTGCCAGCCTCAGGTTGACAGTGCCCTGGGCAGGGAGTAGAGCTGAGCCCTTCACACTATGTGGCCTTGGTCAGCTCACCTTATGTCTCTGAGACCACCAACTTCCCCACGGGAAAGACAAGAGAACATCTGTCCCTCAGGTTCTGTGAGGATTACATGAGGCCATGTGGAATGGAAGAATTTGGTCATTGCAAAGACGCTGCATAGCGTAGAAGCTGCCAGCAACTCACACTTTCTGGGTTCCAGGCTTTTCCTCTTTAAAAAAAAAAAAATAGGGGAAGGACTTCCCTGGCATTCCAGTTGTTAATATTCCATGCTTCTATTGCAAGAGGCACGGGTTCTACCCCTGGTCAGAGAACTAAGATCCCACATGCTTTGCAGCTTGGCCAAAGCAAAAGGTGTGTGGGGGGTGGGGGGGGGGATTATCTTTATTGTTTTACCAATATCACAAGAAAGGGGAGAAAAATGGAGTCTTCTGTAACTCCTCCATCAAAAGAAAGCTACTCTTCATATCTTGGGAGCATCCCTTGTGGCTCAGCTGGTAAAGAAATCTGCCTGCAATGCAGGAGACCAGGGTTCTATTCCTAGGTTGGGAAGATCCCCTGGAGAAGGGAACGGCTACCCACAAAGAGGCAGACACGACTGAGCGACTTTCACTTCACTTCACATCTTGGTAGCATTTTTTTTCAGGCTGTCTGGGGGGAAATGAGGAACTTAGGGTCTTCTAACAGCCCTTCTGAAGTCAACAAAGTTTCCAAGTTAGAACCTTGGTATTTCAGCTTAGAAACTCTGTACTCATTAGATAAATGGTAGCGAGCAGAGGCCAGTGAAGGTGTTAAAGTGTATGTGGACCACAGTTGCTCAGGTCCTGAGGAGCCAGCCATGCTAACTTCCTCTGCACCTTATAATAATTAACTTCCCGAGTCACACACTGGCCAGCAACCAATGCATCAACACTGTAGCCTAATCCAGGACCCGTGCAGCATTCACTGTCAGATCTGTTAGATCCTTGTGTCACAGTGTTTGCTGTCCCCAGTCCTGCAGCCTAACCTCTGCAGAATGATTCCCCTCAACTGACAATTCCTACCATGGAGACCCCGGTGTTGGCTGGGAAGTTCAGGCAAGGTAGGAGATGGTAGTGACAGTGAGAGTCTGAAAAATAATACTGATCTTATTCCCAGAAAAGGCAGAGTCGAGCTTCCTGTGGAGACAGGGAATGGAGGATAGCATAGACCAGGCAGATCCCGTCACAGTCTTCCAGGAAACCTGAGCTCTGCTGGGTGTTGTCAAGGGCTTCCAACTTTGTCAATGAGAACTAACATTTTTATCCATGATGTCCTTCATCTCACGGGGTCCTCACAGCAACAATAATACCCAGTTTACAGACAAAGAAACCGAGAATTATGGAGTTAAAGTAATAATCTCAGCATTAGCCAACCGGTCAGTGGTGGAGCTGGATTACAAACCTGAGGCTTGGGGTGACAAGCCCAGAGGATTGTCACTGTGGGCGATTTAGTTCATTTCTGCTGAGTAGATTCTCACACTTCCTATTTCCACTGAATGTTTCCACTGATGCTTTCCATCCAGCTATCAACTCGGGCTCATAACTCCTTTCTAAGCCCTTTCAGGCTTAGAAACCTGCCTCACTAAACTTGGTCTTTTGCCAATGCCCCAGCCACCCTCTCTCCAGCTATCCTCTAACTCAAGCTCTTCTTTCTGCCCAGAATGTCTTTCTCCCACTTTTTCAACAAACTCCCACTCATGTTTCAAATTTCATATTAAGAAAAAGATCTCCATGGAAGCTTCACCAATTCACCCCAGACAGAACGGTTCTCTTGTCTTTTCACAGAACCTTATCTTGGCCCTACCTTCTACTTTATCACATTGTACTGTAATTGTTTACCTTAGTATTTTCTTTGTCTAGAATATGAGTTTCCTAAAAGTAGAAACTGTGTCTGATTTCTATGCCACGGTACCCTTTAACCCAACACCATGCCTTGCACATAGTGGAAAGTGAAAGTGTTAGTTGCTCAGTCATGTCCAACTCTTGGCCACCCTGTGAATTGTAACCCACCGGGCTCTTCTGTCCATAGAATTCTCCAGGCAAGAATCTGGAGTGGGTAGCCATTTCCTTCTCCAGAGGATCTTCCCGACCCAGGGATCAAACACAGGTCTCTCACATTGCAGGCAGATTCTTTACCATCTGAGCCACCAGGGAAGCCCATAGTGAGGACATAATTCTGACTTCAAATGAGGATGAGAAGCAGGCTGGCAAGGTGTGGTCTAATCCTAACATTTCATCAATTCCTCTCCCAAAGAAAATCTTCACCGGCTAGCCCAGAAGCATTCAGATGGAGCTGTCTGTTTCAATTTTTGTCTGCTGGACTCAGGTGTTTTGCAAATTCTTTTCCTTAAAGACTCATTTATACTTGATTTTGAAGATAGAAATAGAATGAAAAACAAGCGAAAAAGAAGTGTGGAAATATCCCGTTCATAAGGGGGACTAAGAAAAAAAAAATAAGGGGGACTAGGAGGGAGTAAGGGCTAGGGGTCCTGGCTGCTGTGGAACTCAGCCCAGCTCTGCGCTTGCTGACCTGGTGACACTGGGTATCTCCAAATTTTCAGGGCTCCAACCTCTTCATCAGTAAATGGATGAATTGTGTCATGAGACAAAATGAGATGAGACAGGTAAAAGAACATGCCACAGTGTCTGGCAGAGAGTCTAAGGAAAATGTGACTATTATTATTCAGTAATCCCAATTCCTTGTTTGTCCAAAACTCTTGTTTTATAAAGGAATCAAAGTGTACATTCTACCTTAAACTTTATGTTTCTTAAAAAATTTTTCTCTAGGTTCCATATACGTTAGCTGTCAAAGACAAGTATCGTGTGTCTGATGTTTGAAATAGCTTCTAAGATGGATCAAGGCATATTTATGAAAAGCACTCCATCCCTGAAAGACTGTGTGATTAAACCAAATAAAAGCTCAGCTAACTTAACAATAATCTCGATTTCTCTACTAAATCTCCAGCAACTAAGAAAGATGTTGCTTCTCTCTGCAAGTCCCATGTAAATGTTACCAACTTGGAAATTTGTGGTCACCTAGTCCCAGGATTCAATGTTGCCCCAATCACATCTCCTCCAAATGAACTTTTCCCAAGATAAATGTATCACAATTCCATATCCTACCCCTCTCTTATATGATACCCTTCTTTACTTGGACATCCCTGATAAACCCTGCCTAAGAACTGGAAACTGTTCAGAAAACTCTGCAGTCTCCTTTATCACTGTGAGTTGACCAGGTGTGTTTGAGTTGACCAGGTGTGTTCAAGTTGACCTAGTGAGCTGCTCCTCTCACATTAAGGTTGACCCATTCAAGCGACAGCTATCAAGCTTCTCTGGTGATGCAGTGGTTAAGAATTTGCCTGCCAATGCAGGGGACATGGGTTTGATCCCTGGTTTGGGAAGATTCCACATATCTTGGGGTGGTTAAGCTGGCAAACCACAACTACTGAGCCCATGAATCCTAGGGCCCTCATACCACCACTAGAGAGTAGCCCCCACACACCTCAACTAGAGAAAGCCCTTGCGCAGCAACAAAGACCCAGCACAGCCAAATACATATATGAAGTCAAAAGGTACAAACTTCCAGCTACAAGATAAATAATTACTAGGGGTATAATGTACAACACGACAAATATAATTAACACTGTTTATGTTATATGTGAAAGTTGTTGAGAGTAAATCAAGAGTTCTCATTATAAGAAAAAATATTTTTTCTATTCATTTAATTTAGTATCTGTATGAGATGATGGATCATCACCAAGCTTAGTGTACTAATCATTTCATGATGTATGTAAGTCAAATCATTCTGCTGTACCCGTTAAACTCATACAGTGATGCATGTCAATTATAATTTGACAAAACTGGAAGAAGAAATAATAAAATTAAACTAAAAACAAATGAAGCAATGAAACAAGACAGAAACAGACTCATAAATACACAGAACAAACAGGTGGTTACCAGCAGGGAGGGCAGTGGGGGAATGAGTGGAATAGATGAAGAAGATAAAAGGTATAAATTTCCAGTTACAAAATAAATGAATCTCAAAGATAAAATGTAAAGCATGGAATATATGCAATAGTTTGGTAAAAGCTTTGTATGTGACAGATGGTAACTAGACTGATGACTTTGTGATGTATAAAGGCACTATGTTGTACACCTGGAACTAACACAGTGTTGTAGGTCAATTATGTTGTTGTTGCTGTTTAGTCACTCAGTTGTGTCCAACTCTTCACGACCCCATGGAAGCACACCAAGCTTCCCTGTCCTTGACCATCTCCCAGAGGTTGCTCAAATCCAACCATCTCTTGTCCTCTGTCATCCCCTTCTCCTGCCCTCAATCTTTCCCAGCATCAGGGTCTTTTCAAATGAGTCAGCTCTTCACATCAGGTGTCCAAAGTATAGAAATTTCACCTTTAACATCAGTCCTTCCAATGAACACTCAGGACTGATCTCCTTTAGGATGGACTGGTTGGATCTCCTTGCAGTCCAAGGGACTCTCAAGAGTCTTCTCCAACACCACAGTTCAAAAGCATCAATTCTTCAGTGCTCAGCTTTCTTTATAGTCCAACTCTCACATCCATACTCTACTACTGGAAAAACCATAGCTTTGACTAGACGGACCTTTGTTGGCAAAGTAATGTCTCTGCTTTCTGTCTAGGTTTGTCATAGCTTTTCTTCCAAGGAGCAAGCATCTTTTAATTTGATGACTGCAGTCACCATCTGAGTGATTTTGGAGGCCAAGAAAATAAAGTCTGTCACTGTTTCCATTTTTTCCCTGTCTATTTGCCATGAAGTGATGGGATCAGATGCCATGATCTTAGTTTTCTGAATGTTGAATTTTAAGCCAACTTTTTCACTCTCCTCTTTCACTTTCATCAAGAGACTCTTTAATTCCTCTTTGTTTTCTGCCATAAGGGTAGTGTCATCTGCATATCTGAGGTTATTGATATTTCCTCTGGCGATCTTGATTCCAGCTTGTGCTTCATCCAGCCCGGTATTTTGCATGACGTACTCTGCATATAAGTTAAATAGCAGGGTGACAATATATAGCCTTGGCATACTCCTCTCCCAATTTGAAACCAGTCCATTGTTCCATATCCAGTTCTGACTGTTGTTTCTTGACCTGCATACAAGTCAATTATACTTCAATTTTTTTAAAAAGACAATCATTGAAGAGTGCCCATTCATTCTAAAGAGAATTATTAAATACCTGAAGAGGAAGCCATTTAGAAGTGGTCAGATGGTCCAATGACCATCACTCAACTTCAACCATCAGAGAGAAGTTTAGAGCCTCAATATAGAGAGTGTTGATGAATATGTTTTTGGAAGGGATGTCATAGATCTAGCATGCTGTATTTCCTTCCAGCACACCAAATCAGAGACTTTTAAAAAAACTAACCATTCATAGATGTAGTAAGACTTGTGCTAGAAGGGAAGAGATTCCAGCCCCACGCTGACCTGCAGAGACATGAGACTCCCTACCACTGTTGCTATCCAAGCAGAGCACGGAAGAATGCTTGGAAGAGATTGAGATGTGTTCCCTGAAGTTGGGAGGCATTAGGCTCTCACCTGTGTTATTAAAAGGTGTGTGGTCCAGCTGCTCACTGCTCAAAAGCCAATAAACAGGCCAGGTTGGTGGAAAAGGAAGTTTGCTTTATTTCAGATGCTGACAACTCAGGGGGAGGGTGGGCATCTCCAAAGGCTGACTTCCCCCCTGGCACTGGGAACCAGTGGAGCAAGAACTTTTACAGACAGAAGTGCGGGGGGGGGGGGGGGGGGGGGGGGGGCAGGAGGGGGCTACATGCAGAAGCAGCAACGTGATCTCTGACAGTCATCTTCAAGCTGGTCATCAGTGGTCTGACCAGCGTCATTCTTGATTGTTTTGGGTGCAGTTAATCTTCAGTTCCAGGGCTTCCCCAATGGTGCTAGTGGTAAAGAATCTGCCTGCTAATGCTGGAGACACAGGTTCAATCCCTGGATAGGGAAGATCCCCTGGAGGAGAGCATGGCAAACCACTTCAGTATCCTTGCCTGGAGAATCCCATGGACAGAGGAGCTTGCAAGGGGACTACAGCCCATGGGGTCGCAGAAAGTCGGACACGACTGAAGCGACTTAGCAGCAGCAACAATCTTCCGTTCCAGGGTCCATTTGTTCCCATTTCTTTGAGGCCGATTCTCAGAATTGTGGCAGCTGATGTCGTGGGTACAGTCTGTCATCATGTAGTTAATTTCTTCCACCTGCCGTTTTAGTGAGCTGTCTCATAGATAGCTCACAGGACATGGCTCAGAATATTATCTATATCCTTTGAGAAGGAACCAACGGTCCTTGACTATGCCTAATGAGTACATCTTCGTTGTTTGGTCTCATTGGACTGTTTTACTTCGTTTCCACATGCTCTCATTTCTCTGATTAAACTTATTCTTTGACTAAAGTTTTCTGCAGACAAAAGGCAGCCAGAGGACCCTGGTGGAAGGGCCATAGGGTCCTGCTCTGTTTCACCTAGACAGTGAGAAGTAATGGAAGAAGACTGTCTTCCAGAGTCTGAAAGGACTTGGAAGCCCCAGATTTCTTGTGAGCCAAGGAAATAACAGAGAAGTAGCCAGGCTTGAGGCATTAGGAAGAACTTCAGCAAGAAGATGTCCAGCTCTGGACTCCTTGGGTGTGTTGCCAGGGGCAATTACAGAAGGACTTAGCCCCTTCACCACCCCATTAGAGAAGGCTGCAGTCTGGAAATGAAAAACACCCCTGTGACCAGTGCGCCCGGCGTTTGTGGACATACCCTGAGGAAAGATAGACTGAATGGCTTCCAAAGACTCAGCAGTCCAGGACTCCCAGTTCTCCTCTGATTTTCTGTTTTTAGGTAAAGAGTGGGTTTATTTAGAGAGACACACATTCCACAAACAGAATGTGGGTCATCTTAAAAAGCAAGAATGGCTCTGGGAGAAACATGATCCACAGACAGAGAGCAGCCCATCTCAGAAGGCCAGAGCCTTCCTTTGAGTCTTTTTTTTTTTTTTTTTTTTTTTTTTTAGCATTTCAAGTGGAAGTACTTTTATTTCAAGGCACCATATCAATCTCTCCAAGGGTGTTTCTCTCAGAACACCCCTGCCTCCATGTGTGAAAATCCTAAAAACAAAACAAAAAACGAAAACTAGACCCAGACGGTGATCACAGCCCTCCACTAGCTTCCATTAGTGTGATAGCGTTCCTGAGGGCCCAGGTGACAGGGGCCTGATGCCACTGTTATCGACAGTGTTGGCATGGAGCCCCCAATGAGGCCCCAAGGACAGAGATGAACGGACCACTTGGACTCTGGAATAGCACGTGGGGCAGGGAACCTGCAAGACCAGGAATCCATGGACATGTGGCAGAGTTGGCATCCACACCCCTCTCCTACTTCTCTTCCTCCTCGCTCAGGTTGGCGTTTCCCTGGAGCGAGGACGTCAGCTTGTTTTGCAAGAGAGCTGCAAGTTTCTTGGATGTCTTTTTGAGGAACGCGCTGCCCGGGTGGGCACCATTCACATGCAGGTACAGGTCCTCCTGGGTGGGGCCCGTGTAGCCGCAGTCCTCGCAGACGTACAGCTTATCCCGGCGCTGCTTATAGGCATACTGCTGCTGCACCCCATGGATCTTCTTCAGGTGGGACTCCAAGGAGCAGCGCTGGGTGAAGGCTTTGTGGCAGACATCACACTTGTAGGGGCGAATGCCTGTGTGCGTGCGCACATGCCGCTTGAGGTCGAAGGTGTCGTTGAAGCCCTTGCCACAGAAGCTGCACAGGTGCCTCTTCACCTGGCTGTGGCACTTGAGGTGCCGGTTGAGCATGCGCTGCAGACGGAAGGCCTTGCCGCACAGGTCGCAGGTATGCACGGCCGCATCGCTGCAGGTGCCTGTGGTGAACTTGATTTTCGACCTGGC